GACGATGGTCTGAGGACAATTTCAAATCTGCTTTCCCTGATAAATCTCATTGAGTAATTAGTGTCGCATATCTGACCTTTAAAGCTATGAACAACACTTACTGAAAAGCCAGCCACTCCAACAGCAATCATTTATACGGCAGGATACAGATAACATCTGTTATCTCCAGCTCAGTTGGGCTAAAATAATGTACCAATAGATATAACTGTGGAAAGGTGGGCTATTATCAAGTGGTTTTTTGTTTTTTAGTTTTCTTGTGGCTTCTGTAGTTTCACTGGCTGACTAGCTTCCCAAACTGGGGGGAGTCTAATCCCAGCCCACGACAGCCAGTGTCTTGAGGGGCTTTTAGGCTGAGTCACAAGGGAGCATGTTAGAAAAAAGATGACGTACATTAGAGATGCAGTTACCAGTTGAGCACGTAGGGATTTTTTGCATTTGAGAACATTTCATATATATGTACTTGTTAATGCAATCAGAGGGATAGATATAACAGTTCAGCCTTCCTGTCTTGGTTTTCAAGAGTAATAAAAAGTGTATTCATCCATCAGGAATGTCTCCCTCTGTTATATTGATTATCAGCACCTTGTCAAAACTGGTTTCTCCCACATGTCAGCTTAGTCCCCACCCCTTTGAAAATTAATCTTGGTTGCAAAACATGTTGCCAATTTTGATATATCCTGCAATTTAGGTAGCCATAAAAGTAATTGACAAGAGAAAAGCCAAGCAGGACTCTTACGTTTTAAAAAACCTGAAGCGTGAACCACGGATACACCAGATGATTAAGCACCCCAACGTTGTTCAGCTATATGAGACCTTGGAGACTGACAACTCCTATTACCTGGTGATGGAGCTGTGCCTCGGTGGGGACCTCCTGGACAGAATTTGTGACAAAAAGAGGCTGGCAGAAAGGGAAGTAAGAAGATACACCAGGCAAATTCTGTCTGCAGTAGAGCACCTGCATTGCCAGGGAATTGTTCACAGGTAAGATGTTACCTCTTCCAAACAACAGTATGAAAAGAAAGCATGCGAGAGGGTGGAGTGCTCTTTTTCACCAAGAACATTTCCTTAATTTCCCACCATTTGCAGGGATTGCAAAGACTATGTCCTCTCAGCCCTTCTTAATAAAGTCTTTTCTTTTCAGTGGTTGTAGAAGATAAGCTGTTATGCACTCCTTAGGGAGTAAAATAACAAAATCCAGGGAGAAGAGTTGATGAGCACGAGTCAGTGCTTTGCCGCGATTATCTCAGAATTAGCTGGTGACAAACACGCAACTAATTGAAGTGTTTCAGTGTGGCTATGCTTATAAATATTTATTTCATTTGGTTAGCCACAACATATTGAAATAACCACACCACTCAGAACAGAGGACTGATGAATCCCAGTTCACTGGCTGTGCAGAGGACATGGTCTTACAGGTCCAGCTCTGTGGCATATCCATGACTTTCCACACTGACTTTTGCATGACAGGGACAGATCACAGCTTCAGTCATTGCTAGAGGAACCTGAGCAGCCCATGCAAGGAGACCTGATTTTCTTTTCCCCACCAAGAATCTTGACACATATGCCAAGACTAGTAGAATGGAGACTTCCATTTTAAGTAGGAGAATAGGCAAGAAGCAAGATTTTCCCACCATTTTTCTATTCTATTAGTAATTCATGGTCAATCAGAGCCTTACATTTAAATGGTAAATGCACACATCAAGAGAGCCCCCAGGACCTAACAAGTAATCCAGTTGACTGTATCGTTACAGCAACCATGAAACAAATAAACTGTGAATGTGATGGCTCAGCATTTACAAGTGCTTTGTGACTTGATATGCTTGCAATCCAGCACTTATTTATATTGCATTTGTTAATTAATAAGGAATGGACGAGAAGTATCAGTATCTGACCTGGAGAATTTAAACAAACAAAAAAACCCCACCAGAAAATAAACACAAAGGGCTTCACCCATTTATTCCAGTCTGACATTCCTGCCTTGCGGGTTCCCTAACTAATCTGATTTACAGGATTGCTTCAGTGCTCATGTTCATAATGCTTACATTATTCCTATGACAACATTCCCCTTTAATTTCTCCAGCCCTATTCCCTTCTTTTTGTTTGGAAACAACTCATCCCAGTGAGCAGGGGAGTAGCCTGACTTCTGCCCCTACTTTTTTCTTCTTCAGCTGGTAACTTTTTGCTATGAAATCTTTGCAAGAGAGAATACTTTTGCTGCACACCCTGAGAGTAGCCAGGTACAAAGTTGTGTGAGCTTCTCCATAGAATTGCTTTACTATCAAATCTCCTTAACCGAAGGACTTAACTCAAGCACTTTGTCATTGAGTTTATCAAGTTGTATGGTCCAGCAGGAGCCCAGATGCCTTGCCAGGTTGTGAACATAGGTTTGGTCAGCAGCACCTCAACTCATGACCTGCTGCTAGCTTTGAGATTCAGAGCTGTGACCTTGACCTTACACTAGAAGCAGACTGAGAAAGATCTGGAAGGGCTTCCCTCCTCAGCTCCTGCTGCAGTGATTTACAGCAACTTGCTGCCGAGGTTAAACTGAAGAGGATAATTGTGGGTGTATTCTCTTCTGAAAAGAAGGCATCAAAGTTTCCAGAAAGATGAGCACAAAAAATAGGAAAGTTACCTCACAAAGTCAGCCTGATTTTCTCTTCTAAGCACTGAGCAAAGCTCACCTCTTTGCATTGCTTAAACACAAGGAAAGGAGCCCAAGCTGCCTGTTGGGAACTGTTGCTGCTCCATAGGGATAGTGCTGGTAAATTTACACCAGGTATCATGGTTCATAAGGTGGATAACGGTGTGCCAATGCCTGGGTCTATACCTGGGGGACCTTTTTTTTACTAAAATGGAGGTGCCTGGTGATGAGCTTAGGAATTTTCTAACTTAATTTACTTTTGCTCAGAAGTGTCTCATGAGCATTCCTGATTTTTAACCCTGGGATGTACCCCAGAAAAACAGTATTTTCTGGTGCCTTAGTGATGTAGTTGATGAAAAACTGCCCCGTTTTGTGACTATTTTTAGTACAAGTTGATATAGCTCGTAAAAAACACCGTGCTATGTTTTGACAGCTATTTTGTTTCTTAAGCTTTACTCTTCCTATTCACAAAAATCAGGACTGATCCAACAAATCCTTATGGCTTAAATTAAGGTTGAGTCTACATTCCATAGTAAAGGTAGTGCCTTTCTTGTATATGCAAGATAACCATTGATTTTGATGCCATCGTTGCCAAAATCATCCGGAAGACAAAGCATTGACTCACTTGCCTGTTCTCCCAGCACATTTTACTGTGCCAGATATAAGAAGGTTCAAGCACAAGATCAGGTTCAACAGCTTCACGAGCTGACACTCATCAGCTGAGCTCTACTAACTATCCCTGAGCCTGCTCTAGACATGGCCAAGCAGTGACGTAATTCATCTGAGCTTAAAAACCTCAAATAAAGACATACAAGCTAAATCACATTACATTGCAATTGGATTCATCTAGCACACAGTCAGCTACCAGCTCCTGAAGTTAGTCCTTGCTAAGTTACAATAACTTACTTGTATGTACAGTTCCTGATTTTTCCTGGATGCTTTTCCTTCTCTGGTATAAAGCTGGCATATACCTTTTGGAACTGGACCAAAGACTCAGAGAAGCACCACAAGCTGCCCCCTAGGCACTGTCTCTGAAGTCCCGATGCGAATGAGAAAATAATTGTGGTGTTGCTTAAACTGACAACATCTGTGGGAATGTTTTCTTTGTGAAAAAAAGAACAAGACGTATCTTTGATGCAAGATGACTTCTGACACTATGCAACCTTTAATTGTGACCATTATCAGGTTTTTCAGGGAAGAAAGCATACATTTATATAACTGTCTGAGCACTCAGCCTATAGAACAGCAGCTGTGGCAATCCAATTTAACATTATTTAATTGTAGTGTAGTAAAAGTCATCAGAGTGCACTGTGGGGTGCTAAATCCAATAGAAATGTAAGATTTGCAGTGGCCTAATTAGTTTTAAACCACAGTTTTAGTACACAGGGTTATGTCATAGGGTTAGGCTATGAACAAAGTTATCTTAAATCTAACTCCCAGCTTTTGGGCACTGGCCTATTTGCCACTCCAGAAAACATGCTATTCAAATAAAACAACATTAAAGAGTTATCATTAGAACCATCTCCATCTCACTCTCTGCCTGGGGCAGCAGAGGGTTTTGAGTGGAATGCTGTCCCATCCAGAACCATGGAGATAAAAGGAGGCTCCTGCAAAGCCCCCCATCAGGACCACTGCCCGTAACTCCCTGCAGCAGTGCCGTGCCGGTCGTGCAGCGCTGGTCCCTGGTCCTCCCAGCCCTTGCTCCTTGCTCCTGCCGTTGTTCCCATCCCTCTTTCTGCTTTGTCCTCCTGTACTCTGCGAGGTCTTAGGGTTGATGAAAGCCCTTCACAACTTGAGATGGAAACCCACATAGCCAGAGCCACTTCTAAAACTGGCTGTGTCCCCCCTTTCCCACCGCGCAGCTGAGGGAAGCCCCCAGCGGCACGCAGGAGGCCGTGATGGGAGTCGGCAAAGCATCCCGGGCTCCTGAACCACTTCCCAACAGCCAAATTACACTGGCTGAGGATTCCCCCGCCCTGGGAAAGATTTCAGCTACCACTTCGGGCACTCCCCACAGTGGAGCAATATTCCAGCTTTTGGTTTGAATTTGTAAGGATATAAATGTTCCCACAATAATCAAGTAAGCGCCTGAGCCAGCTGACACTATTTTTTCTGCAGCTCCAAATTACATCCTCCTGCAGGGGTGGCTGATACTGGTTGACCCTGTTTACATAAACATCACTGCAGAGATGTCCCCACCTCAAAAGAAGAAGTAATCCCTCTTTCTGCTTTGTCCTCCTGTACTCTGCGAGGTCTTAGGGTTGATGAAAGCCCTTCACAACTTGAGATGGAAACCCACATAGCCAGAGCCACTTCTAAAACTGGCTGTGTCCCCCCTTTCCCACCGCGCAGCTGAGGGAAGCCCCCAGCGGCACGCAGGAGGCCGTGATGGGAGTCGGCAAAGCATCCCGGGCTCCTGAACCACTTCCCAACAGCCAAATTACACTGGCTGAGGATTCCCCCGCCCTGGGAAAGATTTCAGCTACCACTTCGGGCACTCCCCACAGTGGAGCAATATTCCAGCTTTTGGTTTGAATTTGTAAGGATATAAATGTTCCCACAATAATCAAGTAAGCGCCTGAGCCAGCTGACACTATTTTTTCTGCAGCTCCAAATTACATCCTCCTGCAGGGGTGGCTGATACTGGTTGACCCTGTTTACATAAACATCACTGCAGAGATGTCCCCACCTCAAAAGAAAAGTAAATACTGCACACTTTTTTTTTTTTTTTTAAATGCACCAATAGAATGGATGATTCCTAAAGTGAACGGTCTATGTAAAATATAGACTTATAAAACATTCCCTGAAATACAGAAAACTTCCATTTTCCCAGCTGAAAACTTCAAGAAGGAATAAGGATCTTGTTACAATTGTAGGCAGTACTGTGCAGAACTATTGTTTTTATTTCAATTAAACTTTGCTAAAAACTATCTGTAAATGGTTAGCTGGGACTTTAGGCATCTTAAAGTTTGTTTTCTGTCTTCATTTCAGGGACCTAAAAATTGAAAACTTTCTTCTTGATGAGAACAACAACATCAAAATTGTTGGTAAGTGCACATTACCTATGAAGTTTTTTACCAGCTTTTTTTTGTGTATGGCTTTCAGTGACAGTTCAGTTACAATTTAAACAGTACATTTTATGAGTGAGCTTGTGATTATTCAATAAACATATTTGAGCCTTTAGAATAAATAAAAGTATGATGTATAACTTAACAGCTTGTTTATTTGAGCTTTAACTAAAACATATTTTTCAGAGAACAAGGAAAACCATTTTGCCTATTGTTTTCCCTTGTGTATTGCTGGAGAAGCAAGAAACAATTACAGCTTTTATGTGTAGAAAGCTGTTCCTAGCAGAAGTGATTTGTAGACAAAGAAATAAATCTTCTGGGGTGAAATGCAGGTACGGCTGCATTAGTTTCTGTCGAGTCATTGCTCCAACTACACATGTCATCATTTGGTATGTGTAAAAAATAAAATAAAATACTGATTTGGTCACTAACAGAGACCTTGCTGGAGCTGTGAAACAAACATTTATAAAAATGAGGGAATTTGCACCAAGCAGTTAACACAGCTCAGAAAAAACATCAGTTCTATTCTATGGAAACCGCAAAGAAAAGCCCCCGCCAGGGAAGCTCACTTCTAGAGATGCCAAATGTTTAACCCAGCGTTTCCCAAACTTTTAAAAGCTTAACACCTCTGAGAAAAAAGGCACCAACTCTTCACCCCTGTTTTATTGCCAGCCAGTCCTTTACAATCACACCTTCCTCTTCCCTCCCCCTTGCACACATGCACATACACAGCAAAAAAGGCTTAAGTTAGCACATTCTACCCCCCGTTTACAACGGGCTAAAGCACACCCAGCTGAGCCGAATGCTGAAGCTCATTAAGCCTTGGTAATACATCTGTGAGGCTGTGCTCTTGTGCTCCCTTACAGTCAGCTGAGGCAAACTGGAAGAGCTCAACCAAAATCAACCCAAGGAGGCCCATGGCTGGGTAACTTCACTGTTACCCCTCTGCTAATTCCTGGCACATTTATTTGAACCCAAATTGGAATCCCCAGCTGAGATCTCACCAGATGCTAAAGCCAGCTGCTGTTTTCATCTTTCTCCTTTCTTTAGCCAGTTGCTAAACTTACACTATTTTGAGAAGACATTAGAACCTCTTTGTCTTTGTTTTTGTGACTGTCAGATTTTGGACTGAGCAATATTGCAAAGTTCAAGGGTCTCTCTCAGGAGCTGTTACACACCCAGTGTGGAAGCCCAGCTTACGCTGCCCCAGAACTCCTTGCTAACAGGAAATATGGTCCAAAGGTGGATGTTTGGTCCATGTAAGTAGATCCACTTGAATAAAATTATACTTATTTCACATTTCAGATGCCTTAATGACAGCCAAACCTTAGTAACCTTAGAACCATTTACTGAGCTCACTCTGTTAATAAACATCACGTAACAGGTCAAGGCCTGTATAAAAGTTACATATGGTCCTTGGTGTTTAAAATAGACATATTCTGCATTTTAGGCGTAAAACAGGTTTACAGTTTAAATCTGAATTGTTCACACTGTCTTAGCAGAGAAGAGAATTCTGATGGACGAAAGTATTAATTAGCAAGATAAGTTGCCTCAATTGTCACAAAATAAATAAAGGACTCCGGAATCAAAATATTTCACTGTAGTGCAGAAATACTGACCTTATGCGGCAGGGCTGGCAAGGCATCATTGCAACAGGAACTAGAAAGCTATGTACAGTCAAAACCATGTTAGGAAAACCAACCAGATTCAACTGCAATATAGCTAAGGCTCCTGTGAGGCAACAGCAATGCCTGTTTTGCCTGATCATGACTTTTGTGCATAAGATTTTAAAGATTCTTTGGAGGACTGGAAAGTGCATCAGCTAAGGAAAAAGCTGCTCAGATAGCTCAGTTGGATAAAGATGAAACAGTCTGTCATAGCTAATAAACTTTCAAGTTGAACATACCATCAGATTCCATCTACAATTAAATACTAATTGTGCTACTGTTAACTATCTACAAGTTGTGAACAAGGTTTTAAAGGAAATTTCAGGAAAGCAGCTCCATCTATTCCTCAAATTCCTTGGGGATTTCCCCATCCAGTAGGCTGATGAAAAAAACTATTGCAGTTTAAAGCACCAATCATGTATATCATCACCAGCAATCTAAAGTGCATGGTAGCATTTGCAGTGTTGAAAAGAATGTTGTAATGACATTAGAGAGCCATTTGCACTGCATGTTACTCCCCGTCATCAGAGAATATTTAGGAGCCCTTCTCTCACTCCAACTGGAGCTACATTTAATCCACATGCTAGTGTGTATTACAGAACGACAATCCTTGCTACTTCAGCCAACTCTATGTTGTTTCATTGCAGCATACTTTCTTTCTATCTCCCTGGCTTTAGTTTTTTTACTCAAAGAATTCATCAGGAAAGTTTTGGAAAGAGTTACACTCAAAGACTAGATTTATCGGAAGGTTGGTAAAGCGAGAAGAGTTGATCTCACCAACATGCAGCCATTTGACAACCAGGCATCTGGGGTACACCAAGCAGTTAGTGCTGTTATTGTGAGTGATAATTCCTGATATCTAGATTTTAGATGGTCAAAGTGAGACAAGTTAAGTCCTGGTCAAGAGTAATGAAGAGCATTTATCCATATGTCGCTGGTTCAAATGTAACCCAATGCAACATTTAGAAAAAGTTGCCATCAACTGCTCATGGGTTTTTAATGGTGCCGTGATTTTCTCATGGTTTTTCAACCATTTGAAAAAACTAAAAAAAAATATTGTTGTGCACAACACAAACAGGTCTGTTTCCCAGATAACGTTGTCATCACTCACACTAATGTACCAACCCAATCAATTAAGTTACAATTGCCTGTATACCAAAAATTACTGTGTCAACTGGGTTCAGTAGAGTAACGGCAAAGGATGGGGAAGAGAAGTGCTGTTGTGGTGGCACAGCTCAGCCAGAGCAAGGAAGTACCATGGAGAGTGTTCAAGAAAACCTCCCCATTCCCAAACTCGGGACAGCCAAGCAACTTTTCCAAATGTTGGCACCTCTCCAAACTGAATGGCAAACCTTCACAAAGTTTGCTGATCACTCCTAGCAGACTGTTAGTCTTCTGCAAGAGTTAAAGTTTTAAGTCTTTAGCCAACAGCAAGCTGTTACCAAACGAATGCCTTCTAGGCATAAGTCACACCTAATTTAGCAATCTGAGCAAAGCAAGAAGAACTGAATTACTATTTGGAACAGGATCTATCGCATCAGTCCCAGCTCTGTGTTGTCACTCAGCTTCCAAACCAAAATGCTTTATTCTGATGGGCTGGGTACACTACACTGACACTCCAATGAGCTTATTTTAAAAATAAACAGCAGGTTTCCACTTTCAACACTGCAGGCTTTCCAGTCACTCACTGTAGAGTCTGTTTTACACACACTTCCCACAACATTCTTTTCTAGATAAAATGGCATTTGCACGAAGAAAAAAAGGCGTAAGATGTGTATTCAGTACAAATTGCTGTTTAGAGGTAATTTATAACCTTGTTCTTGATACTGAAGGCAAATCTCTGAAGCCCGACTTATAGCTTTGTGGGATTTTAAAAATAATATTTATTAGCATTATACAAAACTCTGATGTTTGTCTTTTTCTTTGGCAGAGGTGTAAGCATGTTTGCTATGCTAACCGGCACATTACCCTTCACAGTGGAACCTTTTAATATCAAGCAACTGCATCAAAAGATGTTAATTGGAGAAATCAGCCCTATTCCATCAGATATCTCCCCCGGTAAAGCACTCCAATCTTTATTAAAAATACTGAGGTATAAACTGTTTAGCCCATGTAATAAAGTTAATTAAGCCATAACACAATCTTCTGGAAAGTAAGAGGAACCTTTTCCAGTTGCTTTGTTTGCATTTCAAAATAACTTGTGTGTGCCTCAAGCAAGGTCTCTTGATCTCAGGTTAATAGGAAAATAACACTGTTGCCTCTTCAAAAGACCACTGTTCTTGGTTCTTATTTACAGGAGGAATAAAATATTTGTTACTTTGACCTAAGTGAAGCAGCTGTGCAGCAAATGAAAACATTGTCATGTTTAGTATGTCCCATGCTCTGTGGCACAGTCAGGCATTCTTTCCCAGTTTTCCCAAAAATCAGTTATCAAAACCTTAGATTATTTTTCCTGAAGAGGTTATCTTTTGGCTAAAGACAGAGTCCACAACACTGAGATAATTAAATAAATGGGAGGGCTATTTTTTTTTTAAGAGTCTGTTCATGGTTTTTGTGAGAAAGGACTGAAATACAACATTTTTCACTGAATTTGATTGACAGTCTTTAATGAGTCTACGGAGTCTTACAGGACAACTGGAAAAGACAGTTTCCAAAAACTCTACTCTGAATTACAGCCTGTGGCTCTAAAACCCAGGAGTCCTGTTGGTGAATACACACTCCTGGTTAACAGTCCAAAACTTACTTCCTCAAAGCTCAAAATTCTGCTGCATTGCAATGATTCCTAAACACCTCTGACTTTAGTCCCTGTTTTCTCTCCACCTCACCTGGCAACTTCTCTGTTGACTGTCACAGGCTTGGCCGTCTTCTCACAGCCCTTACCATGCAGCTTCACTGATCAAGTCAGAAAACAAAGCAGAATGAGACACGTTTTGCCTGCCTACCTACCAGCATGAATTCAGATCTGCCCGTCATTTCCAGCAGCTTTGCTCTGATGTTAGGCAAGACTGAGCCCAGGAAGCAGGATTAGCTCCAGTGGCTGCCTACAGCCAAGTGCTGGGAAGCAGCAGGCAGTTCCAGACCTAGCTAGCTGGATCTAGTTTGGAGTTACAGTATTAAGATGACATGACTGTGATGATTCAGTTTCTTTTTTTCCCTCAGTAAATAGTATGAGGGTATCTACCATAGCTGTCCAGAATGTTTGTACATTAATCTCTCATTCATCTTTCTTTGGAGATTGGTTACGAGATAGCAGTTCCATTTTTCTACAAGCCCTTCATAGCTGCAATTATTGTATTTCTAATTTTTCTTATTTATGCTATTGTTACAGCTTCTACTAATAAATGCATTATCTATGCTTTTCTACAAAGGCCACACAGTTAGTGGAAGATTGCGGATAACTCCATTGTTCACTTGCCCACTGGGAATTTAGTGAGAGAGCAGTAGTAAACGAGCTTTGCATACTTTAGATCTAAATTCTTCTGAAGGAGATTACAAGTGAAAGGAGCAGTATGTTCTCAGTTTAATGCTCACTTGCCATTTTGCTGATTTCAAAACATCCCCAAGGAATATGGAAGAATTCAGTAGAATTTTCCCGAGAAGAAAAAAAATGAGAGGGACTTTTTGCAATGTTGGAGCTGGGTGACAGACATACGGGAATGTTTGAGCCTTCTCTGTCCCAGCTCTAGGAAGCCAGAGTACAACACACCATCTGAGCACGTGGTTCCATCTCCTTCCTTCCAGATAAAACCAGAGAGTTTTATCAATGAGATTATCTTCTTTGTGTGCACGATGTAACTCCTGGGTAGTTGACTGGCATAGGAGGCCTCTTCTCAGAGCCCTGATCAAATGCTGAGTGAGCAAAATGCTGAGGTTGCTATTGATGCCATAGGCTGCATTCACTGGGGTAAATCTAGCAAATTAGGAAGCAAGCTCCAGTGCTGTATCTATAGCAGCATCCACAGATCCATAGTGTGCCTGCTGGCAGGTTTGGCCCATGCTGCCCACTCTGATCAGGCACCCTTGGGGGAACAGAGACAGCACATGTGACCGCAGCAGCCTCAGAGGAGAGACAGAGCTGCTTTATTTGGCAGAGATAGCCCTGAAGACTGGATTTTAGCAGAGGTTCTTACAATGTGGAGGACAGGGGGAAATGCCACAATTCTGAAAATTGAAAATGTTGAGCTGCCCAAATAATCAGATATTGCTAGTAAAGAAGCCATTTCATCTGAACACTGCACAGGAGCTGTACACTTCATGCAGTCCTTGCTTGAGCCTGACCCTGCCAAGAGGCCTGGAGTCAAAGAAGCAATGAAAGACAAATGGTTGAACAAAGGCTTCACCAGGAAAATAGTGAATGCTGCTGCCTATAAGAACAGGTAACAAATTGCACATCTGTCTTCTACCTTGGGTTTCAGGATTTGAGGGGGAAGTGTTAGGGGTTTTAGGAAATTTTGTTGTTTGTTTGTTTGTTTGGGAAGATTTTGTTACATGCTCAGGGCAGTTCCAAAATGACAGAATTTTATTTCAGAAAACACCACATCAACTTTTCTAACCATGTGGAAGTTTTGTATAAGAAACATCCTCATAAAACAGCTTATATCCTTGCATTAATAATTTTGTTCTCAACATGCCTCACTCATGCCACTAATTTATAGACAGTGTGCTTGTAATCCTTTCCTGCAAAACTACATCTCACATGCACACCTGAGGGAATGGCATTTTTATATTGCACTGAAGTTCTTGTTATTCTAATAAGTTTTATTCTCATCTGTCTTTACAACTGGCCTTAACCAGTCTCCATTTTTTCTTAGCAAGCCACTTTACAGTTTAAGGTTATTATAAAAGTTTGAAACAGATATGTGCAACATGACACTTCACATAAACATTGCCAACTTTTGAGATGTTATTCATCTTTCATATTGGGAGACTGCCAAGTATAGTTTGCATGTCTCTAAATACCTAATTTCAGTGGCTGACCTTTTACATGTTCCTCACAGCTGAAATTGCTAGTCATGGGTCAACTATTTTGTGCCCAGATCACTGTGTAAAAGTCATTAGTTTACACCAATCTAAAAAGAAGGAATTTGACCATGTGCAATGGTGTCTACAGGACACATGGCAGGTTTTTGTACCACAATCCAGGCAATCTACTGTCAGTCGCAGCCAGGGCTATTAGAAATCTATGTACAAATTGTTAATTTCTCTGAGAACTGCCCACCCTTTCCACTTCTGTCCTCCTTCCCATCCCTCTGATGTGTCTGTGCCCATTCGTACTGAAGTTTGAAAAAACCCACAGAATCATAGAACTGTCATGGTTGGAAAAGAACTCTAAGATCACTGCATCCAGCCAACAATACTGCCCCTGGCCCTCAAAAAAACCAAACCAAACAAAAAAAAACCCAACCCTCCACAGCCTCCCTGGGTAGCCCATTCCAGCACCTGACCACTCTTTCAGAAAATAAATTATGGCTAATACCTAGTCTAACCCTCCCCTGGTGTAACTTCAGGCCATTTCCTCTCGTCTTATCATTACTTAGTGGAGAGAAGAGGCCAACACCCACCTCCCTAAACCTCCTTTCAGGTAGTTGTAGAGAGCAATAAGATTTCCCCTCAGCTTCCTCTCTCCAGACTAAACAATCTCAATTCCTTCAACCTGTCTTCAGTGTCTTCGGCATCTCAGAATCCAACACTGTCATAGTTCTAAAATGCCTTTCCTATACTTTACTACTCACAAAGTCTCGTGACCAAAGGAATTACCATTATAACATAACCAGTTTACTTTCACAATCTTATTTACATAAAAATCCTCCTGTACTTTCCCATAGTTCTTTTTTTGGCCTTTGAGATTTTCCTGCCTTTGGGGCTTTTTCTGTCTTCTTACGCACACACACTATCTCCCTGTTAATCCATTTGAGACTGCTGTACTGAGAACCAAAATACACACACTAGGTTAGAAGGAGAAAATGCTGATTTCCATCTTTAGATTTTTCAAGCTTAATCCTGGAGGGTGTCCTTTCAGGGTATTCAATTATATGAACAATAAGGTACTTAATAATGGAGCAGCGGAGCCTCAGCCCAGCAGTCAAGTTAGAGTAGCCAGGCAGAGGATTTTTGCACAACTCTGTGTTGTAATTTGCCTGTACAATTGACTTAGCCTACTCCAGCTACATCACAAGAAGTGTGCTGCCCATTTACTGTAAATTCTGACATCATACCTGAACACACCATTTGTATTCAAATACTTTTTCCTAACATTTCAGACTCTGCCCCAGTGAATTGAATCCTGTTGTTTTAAACTACATGACAGAAATAATGGACTTCAGTCTTTCCGAAGTTATCAATGTTTTAATAAATAACAGACCCTGTGCTGCCATGGCTTCGTATTGCTTATTGCTGAAGAAACTGCTCAGGTACCAGAAAGACTGCAAAAGAGCCCAGGTAAGATATCATGATCATGGCAAGCATGGCGTGCTCCCTGGATTCTTATGAAGAACATCATGAGAGCCACACAGCACATGTGATAAAAGGTGGCTGTCCATGGAATGGAGACAAAACTCACCAAAAATAGTAATGAAATTGCAGATCTGAGTGCAGCCTCAGGAAACCTACATTCTGGCATTCTCAGAGGTGATTATTTTAAGAGTTTTTTTCACAGAGATAAATATACCTTTTTTATGATTAATGAATTTTAAAAATAGGCTGCTCATTTTAGTGGGAATGAGAAGTATTTTGCTCTACATAGAAGAATACTTTTCCACTGGAAAAAGGAGCATTAGCATCTTAGTTACTTCTCCATCCCTTCCCTTTCTGACTGGTCCATGATGGCTTGATACGAAGTCTGGGGAGGTAAGTGGAAAGCTGTGAAAGCTGTAAAATCTTTTCTCAGCATCTTTTTTTTTTTTGTATTTTTACTACTGTATCTTATACTCACACTCCAGCTCTGACTCACTGAGGAACATGGAGTGAAATCAGAGGGTACAAGAATTTTAAAATACATTTAGAAAATTATGTTAATCACCAGTAAGGCCACAATTAGTTAAAAAGGCTGTAAGCTTTTCTTTTTACAACCGTCTCCACTAAGGGGTTCACAGTTCAGTCATAAAAATTTTGCTTCAGGCAGAAACTGGGCAGACAGGAAGCCAAATTCCAGCTTCTAACACACAAGTGCAATGGGAAAAGTTTCAGCTACAAAACAACACACACCAGCGATTAGCCTCCCATTCAAAGCCTTCACCCCGAAGAAGCTGTATTTTGAGAAGGTCCAGTTGGCTCCTCTAGAAATTATTTAGATGAGCTTGAGCAGATCCAGATCTCCATCCCAGCACACCGCCCCAAGGTCACAACAGCCTGGGCAGTGTTTGCAGGCAGAGCCATAACTCAAAAATATGAGTTCATGAGCATGTGTGTGTGTGCTTGCTTAGGAGAAGGAGGCTTTCCTCCACATATGCGATTTTTTTTCATATTATAATTCTAAATTGGATCTGCTAACTCGTAAGTCACTCAAAATGAGCCATATTGTGAAGGCTATTGACCAGCTTTCTTGAATCTCAGGGTATCAAGCTGATTTACAGCCCCTAGAGATCTAGCCTTCCAGGCAAGTGGTAGCATTTCATGTCCTCTGTGACCTCTTTCAACATCCTACCTGGGTAGAAGAGGGAAGCGATCATGTGCATAAAGTAAGTTACAAGCTGATTAAGAGGCTGTGCTGCTTCCTGCCACCCTCTTAAGACAGGGAGTCAAGCTGAATTCAAGCCCAGACCACAAAAATGGCTCTCAATGTTAGGTACTAACAGTATGGACTATTGTTTTGAAGTCCTAGTATATGGTTATTTACTCGGCGGGCTTGAGGTTTTGGTAGAGCAAGGAGAAAAAGAGGGGAAGTTTAACTTCACTCTCACAGAATCACAGATTAGCTGAGGTTGGCAGGGACCTCTGAAGGTCACCTGATCCAAATACCTGCTTCAGCAGGGCCACCTAGTGCTGGCTGCTCAGGAGCATGTCCAAGTGGCTTTTTAATAACTCCAAGGCTGGAGACTCCACAGCCTCCACAGCCTCCCTGATTCAGGGCAACCTGAATCAGTGCTCAATCATCCTCACAGTGAAAAATTGTTTCCTGATGTCCAGAGAGAACCTGCTGTGTTTCAGTTTGTGATCATTGCCTCTGGTCTTGTCACTGGGCACCACTGAAAAGAGCCCGGCCTCATCCTCTTTGCACCCTCTCTTCAGGTATTTATATAACTTGATGAAATCCCCCAGAGCCTCTCTATGCTGAACAGCCCCAGCTCTGACAGCCTCTCCTCATAGGAGGGAAGTTCCTCAGTCATCTTTGTAGTCCTTTGCTGGGCTCTCTCTGGTATGTCCATGTCTCTCTTGTACTGGGGACCCCAGAAGAAGACAGAGTACTTCAGGTGTGGCCTTATCAGCACTGAGTAGAGAGGCTAGATCACTTTCCTCAAACTGGTGGCCATGCTGTTCCTGATGCAGCCCAGGGTACCATTTGCCTTCTTTGCAGCAAGGGCACATTGCTGGCTCATGTGCAACCTGGTGTCCACCAGGAACCTTTCTGTCAAGCTACAGTCCAGCTGGGCTTGCCCCAGTATGTCCTGGTGCCTGGTGTTTGCATTTCGCCATGTTGAACTAAACCTAGAAGGGACATACCTAGCATGTGAACTGGGTACACTTTCTGGGGTCTGTTAGGTTGTGTCGTATCACAGCTCCTCATTTCTACACCTCCCCTCTGCCCCCTTCCAGCTAACTCCCAGGTGTGCCCTTCTTTCTTCTGCATGACCAAATGCTGCTGATCTGCATGTTTGATGTGGGGATTTTAAAACTTGCATTTAAGCAGACAGAATCACCCTTTGGCAGCTTTGCAGGGAAATGTCTCAACTTCTAGGAGGACAGCTTTACTGAGAACCTGAAATCTGGGCACAAGCCAGATGCCTGAATTTGGCAGACTGGATTATATCATAAATAATACTTTCTAACATCTGTAACTAAGACATAGAAACTGGGAAATTAGAAAAAAGCACTTCATACCATCCTCCCCATCATTAAAAGTTTGTGTCCTCCTGTTTATTAGCACAGGGTTTGTAAATGCTACTTTATAACTCATAAACTCAAGGCCTGCTCCTAATATCATTTAGAGATCATATAATCATAGAATGCCAGGTTGGAAAGGACCTCAAGGATCATCTGGTTCAACTATTCCAGGTAGGAATATGGTTTAGATGAGAGAGTGTCAGGAGATGCTGTTTTGGCCGACGACAGTTTCATTTTTAGTGCCTTATTCTGTTGTCAGAGTGTTTGTAATACCTATAGGTTTTTTTCCCAGATAGTCATTCTACATTGCTTGTTTCTTAATTTCATCCCTCTACTCCCCCTTACATTCTTCTATATGACAAAAATTAATGTTTCTTGCTTGCTAGAAGCTAGCTCTGCAAATGTTTGTAGTTAATAATGATTACCTCTCAGTTGCTTCTTACTCAAGCCTTATACACAATTAATCTGTGCAATCCCTTCTCACAGGGAGCTCTTTCATATCAATATCATGACTACCAGTGCTACCCCTCTCTTGCCAGTTTCTCCAATAATATTTCCATTGCCCAGAAATGCAGGGTTTGGGGGGAAGGAAAAAAAAAAAAAAAAAAAAAAAAAAAAAAAAAAAAAGGGGGAAAGGGGGGAAGGGGGGGGTAAAAA